CTAGAAAGCAATACATTGTATCATTATTATTATTATTATTATTTATTTTGGACAAGTCAGGACCTTCCCCGACTTACATGCCGAATTTACCTAAATCAGAACAAACCTACAGAATCTCTATTTTCGATCTCGTGTTCTTGTCAACGTTGTCTTTTTGTTTTAGGTTTGCACGTAGGTTTTGTGTCAATCTGTTTTAATAAAACATTGGGTCCTAAAAAGGAAGGAAGCGGATCCGACTCCGGGACGTGGGGCCCATGCGAGGTCCTGACGCTCCTTCTCGGCCTCTTCTTCCTCCTCAGGCGACTCTTACGACTTTGTGTCCCTGGAGTGGCTGCAGCAGTGGCTGGACGAGGCGGCCGCCCCGAAGCCCGTCGACAACCAGCCCTGCTTGTGTCCCCACGGGAAGCTGCACCCGGACAAGGTCCCCGCCATCAAGAGGGTTTCCGCCACTGTGGCTGACTACTTCTACCAGCGCTACGGGGGCGGGCCTCGGCTGACTGGTCAGTGAAGGAAGGAAGGAAGTGGTCATCATTGTAGTGCTTTCACCCCTTAGTCCTGGGCCAACCATTGCAAAACTCCCTTGTGTTCATGGGAGCGGTGGTGGCATGATCATCAGCATAGATGAAACTTTCTGTTCCTTCTGGCAGTGTCTGGTCATTTGTGTAAATGTTAAACAGTGATGGAGTAAACTGGTTTCCCCTGTAATAGACAGTAAGAGCTTCTGTTCCACCATTTCAAAGCTCCCTGCTTGGGGGGTGATGGCACAATCATCAGCATAGATGAAACTTATTATTTGTGTCAGTGTTAAACACTGATGGAGCAAGCTGGTTTTCCCCGTACTAGGCAGTAAGAGCACCTAAAGCTTCAAAGAGCTTCAGTTCAACCATTTCAAAGCTCCCTGCTTGGGCAGTGATGGCAGGATCATCAGCATAGATGAAACTTTCTGTCCCTTCTGGCAGTGTCTGGTCATTTGTGTAAATGGTAAACATTGATGGTGCAACCTGGTTTTCCCTTTAGTAGGCAGTCACGGTACCTAAAGCTTCGGAGAGCTTCTGCTTAACCATTTCAAAGCTCCCTGCTTGGGCGGTGATGGCAGGATTGTCAGCATAGATGAAACTTTCTGTTCCTTCTGGCAGTGCAGTGTCTGGTCATTTGTGTAAATGTTAAACACTGATGGAGCAAGTTGGTTTCCCCTGCAATAGACAGTCAGAGCACCTAAAGCTTCGGGGAACTTCTGTTCAACTATTTCAAAGCTCCCTGCTTGGGCGGTGATGGCACGATCGTCAGCATAGATGAAACTCTCTGTCCCTTCTGGCAGTGGCTGGTCATTTGTGTAGATGTTAAACAGTGATGGAGCAAACTGGTTTCCCCTGTAATGGGCAGTAAGAGCACCTCAAGCTTCAGAGAGCTTCTGCTTAACCATTTCAAAGCTCCCTGCTTGGGTGGTGATGGCACGATCGTCAGCATAGAGGAAACTCTGTCCCTTCTGGCAGTGGCTGGTCATTTGTGTAAATGTTAAACAGTGGAGACAGGCCGTTGTTATGTTTTCACCATCTGCTTCTCTGGGTCTGGAACTCAACAAAAAAGCTCCTGTTTTGTAGTGGATTTCCTATGAAGTGGATGAGGTGGTTGTCCTTTGTGATATTATAAGTTTTTCTCAGGGGAAGGCAATGATTTACAGTGTCATAAGCTGCTGACAGCTCTTGTCATCTGCTGCCTTTCAAAACCATCTTCTCTCTGTGCTGAGTCAGGTTCAACCTGATTCCGGCCCTGAAAAACTTCAACAACACAATTTCCTGACTGTAAGAAGAGCTGTTCAGCAGTGGAGCTCTCTGCCTCGGAGTTTAGTGGAACCTCCTCCTTTGGAGGCTTTCAAGCAGAGGCTGGATGGCCGTCCGTCAGGTGTGCTTTGGCAGAAAAGGGTTGAACTGGATGGCCTTTGGGGGTCCCTCCCAACTCGCTTCCCTCTCTTCCCGCAGAGAAGGCCCTCTGCCGGGAGTGTGTGGTGGAGCGTTGCCGGATCCTGCGGCTGAAGAACCAGCTCAACGAGGACCACAAGGCTGTCTCCAATCTGCTCAAAGCCAATCCCAAGGAGTAAGTAAGGGGCGTATTATGGAAGGGAATGGGAAAGAGCAGCGAGGGAGACCCCGAGCTGAGGGACGGTTTTCCTTCCCCACAGGGACGAGGGCTTCTGGGTGGGAAAGCCTTCCCTGCGGAGCTGGCGGCAACTGGCCCTGGAGCAGATGGAGGCCCCGCAGGAAAGCCAGGCCCGCAGCAACGGCAAGGTGAACGGAGAAGCCGAGGGCAAAGGTACCGTCCCATCACTCCGTGCACTATAGAGGCTCGGCACCTCCATGCTCCCACATATTGTGAAGGGACTAAGCTACGATACCAATGGGAAAATCAGCCAAAGAGCTATCTCTTTCAGACTCCTTTTTCTCCAGAGAGTATCAGCAAGCCTTTATAGAAACAGGCAGCTCCCAAGTGAGATAGATAGAAAATATAGAGTACTAGCTGCACCCTGCCACGCGTTGCTGTGGCCTATAGTAAGAATTTCGAAGTAGAGGTAGATACCTGGACTATTATAAAAGAGAGGTACCTACCTATTCCTTCCCCTCTTTTTCTTCCCCTTCCCCTTTCTCGCCTTTCTTCCTTCTCTACCTCTTTCTTTCATTCCTTATTTCACTCTTTGGTTTCATCCTTTCCCTCTTTCTCTCTCACACACTCCCTCCTTTCCCCTCTTTCTCTTTCTCTCTCTCGCGTTCCCCCTTTCTCTCCTCCCTCTCTCTCTCCTTCCCTCCTTCTCTCTTTCTCGCGTTCCCTCTTTCTCTCGTCTCTGCCTGGCCTCACTCCCTCCTTTCTTCTCTCTTCCTTCCTTCTCTCGCTCTCTTTCCCTCTTTCTCTCTCACACACTCCTTCCTTTCTCCTCTTTCTCTCTCTCTCTCTTGCGTCCCTCCTTCTTCCCCCTTCTCTCTCACTCCATCCTTCTCTTTCTCTCCCTCCCTCTTTCTCTCTCTCTCACACACTCCCCCTTTCCCCTCTTTCTCTCTCTCTCTCTCGTCCCCCTTTCTGTCCTCCCTCTCCCTCTCTCTCTCCCTTTCCCTCCTTCTCTCTTTCTCGCGTTCCCTCTTTCTCTCGTCTGCCTGGCCTCACTCCCTCCTTTCTTCTCTCTTCCTTCCTTCTCTCACACACTCCCTCCTTTCCCCTCTTTCTCTTTCTCTCGCGTTCCCCCTTTCTCTCCTCCCTGTCTCTCTCCTTCCCTCCTTCTCTCTTTCTCGCATTCCCTCTTTCTCTCGTCTCTGCCTGGCCTCACTCCCTCCTTTCTTCTCTCTTCCTTCCTTTTCTCGCTCTCTTTCCCTCTTTCTCTCTCACACACTCCTTCCTTTCTCCTCTTTCTCTCTCTCTCTCTTGCGTCCCTCCTTCCTCCCCTTCCTCTTCTCTCCCTCCCTCTTTCTCCTTCTCTCCCACTATCCTTTCCCTCTTCTCTCTCTCTCTGCCCCCCTTCTCTCCTCCCTCTCCCTCTCTCTCTCTTCCCTCTTTCTCGCGTTCCCTCTTTCTCTCGTCTATGCCTGGCCTCACTCCCTCATTTCTTCTCTCTTCCTTCCTTCTCTCACACACTCCCTCCTTTCCCCTTTCTCTTTCTCTCTCTCGCGTTCCCCCTTTCTCTCCTCCCTGTCTCTCTCCTTCCCTCCTTCTCTCTTTCTTGCGTTCCCTCTTTCTCTCATCTCTGCCTGGCCTCACTTCCTCCTTTCTTCTCTCTTCCTTCCGTGATCGTGCAGGGCGGGGGAGGGAGGGGGCGTGGTGTGAACGTGTGGGGCGGGGCGGGGGAGGGGGGGGCATGGTGTGGTGTGATCGTATGGGTCGGGGCGACGGAGGATAGGGGCGTGGCTTGCGCGTAGGGTGTGTTGGACGGCTGGCCATGTGCGCGCACCGGGGACTTGCAGCGGGGCGCCATTGCGCATGCTCAGTTGTTTTGTCTAATTGTGAGTGTGTTGTTATGTTGTTTAGTATTTTGAATCGATTTGTGCATACCTTGTGGGTTGAGGTATGTGCATGGGAATTTTGGTAAATTTTCGTCGGGGGGTTTTTGAGTTTTGCTGTCCCGTTGGACGCCCTTTTCATTTTTATATATATAGATGTAGATATGGATATATACACCGGCAGTCCCCAAGTTTCCCCCATGATAATAACTCTTCCAGGAGTGAATTTCCCTTCTGAGGGGGAGATTCCTTTCACCTCCTGTTGTCTTGGCTCCGTTCTTAACTATGAGTCGGATGTTTGTAACTTGGGGACGGCCTGGATAATCAAAGTTGATGTATGTATGTATGTTACCAATTGAATTTCCCTCCTGAGGGGGAGATTCCTTTTACTTCCTGTTGTCTCAGCACCGTTCTTACCTGTGGGTTGTTTGTAAGTTGGGTGTTTGTAACTCGAGGGTGGCCTGTAACCCCCGAAGCCTCTGACTCTACCCTCGGGGAGGAGGTCATCTTCTCCCCGTCCCTTTGCTGTCGCTCCCAAATGGACTTCTCTCTCCCTCCGCCACCTGAGATGTGTCCTCTCTTTCTCTCTCTCCAGATGAAGGCGACGTGGAGAAGCGGGAGGAAGAGGGGCTGCGGTTCAACGAGGACATCGTCTGCCCTCACGGTCAGCCTTTGTGGCCCCTCTTGGCGGTCCCCTTCCTCTGTTTTGCGGAGCGTGCCAAGCATCTCTCGCTCTCTTCCCGGCAGGCAACCTCTGCACCTCGGAAGGCGAGCGGAGGGTCGTCTCGCGGGAAGCCTGGGAGACGCTGCAGCGCTATTTCCCAAGCGCCCCGGAGTTCCCCAGCAGCAGGGAGCCCTGCTCCCAGTGCAAGGTGAGCCTCTTGGGGTGCTGCGTTCAGTCTGTGAACAAGGAAAGCTAATTCTTAAGTCTTTCCTTAATTGGTGTTGGTAAACTTAAGGAGCCTTGCGTTGACTTCCTACTTAATGTAAGGAACCTTGTAAACATTTCCTAAACTAAAAGAGTCATTATCTCTGATAGCGGAGACAGCCTGAAACATCCTGGCTTCATCTCAGTTCCGGCCAGATGTTGACTCTCTTTAATTGGGGTTGGTAAACTTAAGGAGCCTTGCGTTGACTTCCTACTTAACGTAAGGAACCTTGTAAAACATTTCCTTAACTTAAAGAATCATTGTCTCTGATAGTGTAAACGGCCTGAAACATCCTGGCTTCCTCACAGTTTCCGGGCAGATGTTGACTCTCCTTAATTGGTGTTGGTAAACGTAAGGAGCCTTGTGTTGATTTCCTTCTTAGCGTAAGGAACCTTGTAAACATTTCCTTAACTTAAAGAGTCATTGTCTCTGATAGTGTAAACAGCCTGACACATCCTGGCTTCATCTCAGTTCCTGGCAGATGTGACTCTCCTTAATTGGTGTTGGTAAACGTAAGGAGCCTTCTGTTGACTTCCTTCTTAACGTAAGGAACCTTGTAAACATTTCCTTAACTTAAAGAGTCGTTATCTCTGATAGCGTAAACAGCCTGAAACATCCTGACTTCGTCTCAGTTCCTGACAGATGTGACTCTCCTTAATTGGTGTTGGTAAACGTAAGGAACCTTGTGTTGACTTTCTTAATTGGTCTTGGTAAATATAAGGAGCCTTCTGTTGACTTCCTTCTTAACGTAAGGAACCTTGTAAACATTTGCTTAACTAAAAGAGCCATTGTCTCTGATAGTGTAAACAGGCTGAAACATCCTGGCTTCATCTCAGTTCCTGGCTTCATCTCAGTTCTGGGCAGATGTTGACTCTCCTTAATTGGTCTTGGTAAACATAAGAAGCCTTGTGTTGATGTCCTTCTTAGCGTAAGGAACCTTGTAAACATTTCCTTAACTAAAAGAGTCATTATTTCTGATAGCATAAACAGCCTGAAACATCCTGGCTTCATCTCAGTTCTGGGCAGATGTTGACTTTCCTTAATTGGTATTGGTAAACGTAAGGAGCCTTGTGTTGACTTTGTTCTTAACGTAAGGAACTTTGTAAACATTTTCCTAGCTTAAAAGAGTCATTCTCTCAGGTGCTCTGCTGTGGCTGACTTTTCTGGTGAACAATTTCAACAGAAAGGATGAAAACCTGAAAATGAACCAGACCTCAGGCCTCACAACTTCTGAGGATGCCTGCCATAGATGTGGGCGAAACGTCAGGAGGGAATGCTTCTAGAACATGGCCGGACAGCCAGGAAAAATCACAGCAATATGATCATGGTGATAATTGAATCAAAGAGTTGAAAGAGATCCCAAGGGTCATCCAAGTTCAACCAAACAGGAAGACACCATCAAAGCCCTCCCAAAAGATGGCCATCCAGCCTTGGATTAGTAATGATGATGTGTATATGTCTCTGCCCTTGTGATGCAGCTCCTGGAGCGGGAAGGGGCGGAGAACGAGGCGCTGCACAAGATGATGGCGGGCGAGCAGAAGGCCTGCCTCTCCAACCTCTTCCAGGACAAGAACCGGCCCGTCCTCAGCACCTGGCCCCAGGTAGGACTTCCCTCCTGTTCCCTTGGAGCGGTGGTCCTCAACCTGTGGCTCCCCAGGTGTTTTGGCCTACCACTCCCAGAAATCCTAGCCACATTACCAGGATTTCTGGGAGTTGAAGGCCAAAACATCTGGGGACCCACAGGTTGAGAACCACTGCCTTTGAGGATGACAAAGACAGGCACCCCCCCCCCCCCCCCAACAAAGCCTTCTGTGTTTGCAGGAAGGAGGAGAGCTCTACGTCGTCCCGAGGCTCTTCGTCGAGGAATGGAGGAAGTTCGTCAGGTGAGATGCCTCTGACCATGAAGGGTCATCGCAATAATAGTAATAATAATAATGAAACTGCAGCAGCTCTTGAGGTTGATATTATTAATAATAATGATTACTATATTATTATTATTATTATTGCTATATTATTATTATTATTATTATTAATTCATGTAGCTGAAACTACAGCAGCCCCTGGCTTGTTGTTGTTATTGTTGTTTGGCTCTTCCCCAGCAGCCAGATCCATTCTCGGCTCCTCTATGCCGTTGAATTACTATTATTATTATTATTATTATTATTATTATTATTATTTATTAATTCATGTAGCTAAAACTACAGCAGCCCCTGGCTTCATGTTGTTGTTGTTGTTGTTGTTGTTGTTGTTGTTGTTGTTGTTGTTGTTGTTGTTGTTGTTGTTGTTGTTGTTGTTGTTGTATGGCTCTTCCCCAGCAGCCAGCCCCATTCTCGGCTCCTCTACACCATTGAATTACTTATATTATTATTATTACTATATTACTAATTCATGTAGCTGAAACCACAGCAGCCCCTGGCTTGATGTTGTTGTTGTTGTTGTTGTATGGCTCTTCCCCAGCAGCCAGCCCCATTTTCGGCTCCTCTACACCATTGAATTACTTATATTATTATTATTACTATATTACTAATTCATGTAAATGAAACCACAGCAGTTCCTGGTTTGTTGTTGTTGTTGTTTTTGTTGTTGTTGTTGTTGTTGTTGTTGTTGTATGGCTCTTCCCCAGCAGCCAGGCCCATTCTCGGCTCCTCTACGCCATTGAATTACTTATATTATTATTATTACTATATTACTAATTCATGTAAATGAAACCACAGCAGTTCCTGGTTTGTTGTTGTTGTTGTTGTTGTTGTTGTATGGCTCTTCCCCAGCAGCCAGCCCCATTCTCGACTCTTCTATGCCGTTGAATTAGTTATATTATTATTATTACTATATTACTAATTCATGTAGCTGAAACCACAGCAGCCCCTGGCTTGATGTTGTTGTTGTTGTTGTTTGTTTGTTGTTGTTGTTGTATGGCTCTTCCCAAGCAGCCAGCCGCATTCTTGGCTCCTCTACGCCGTTGAATTACATTATTATTATTATTATTATTATTATTATTATTATTATTATTACTATATTATATATTATTACTAATTCATGTAGCTGAAACCTACAGCAGCCCCTGACTTGATGTTGTTATTGTTGTTGTTGTATGGCTCTTCCCCAGCAGCCAGACCCATTCTTGGCTCCTCTACGCCCTTGAATAATAATAATAATAATAATTATTATTATTATTATTATTATTATTATTATTATTATTATTATTATTTATTATTATTATTGTTCCTCAACCATCTTTTTATTTGTTTTAATATTATTCATCAGCTGTTTTAATTATAATTAACATGACGATGATGACAATGTTTACTCAGTCTTACCTTCCTTCCTTCCCTCCCAGGCGCCCCACCCGCTGCCGCCCGGTCTCTTCGGTGGGGAACCGGGAGCTGCTCTGTCCGCACGGGGGGCTCATGTTCACCTTCGCCTCCATGGCCAGGGAGGACTCTAAGCTGTGAGTCACCCCAGCCCCAGCCCTCCGCCCCAGGAACGGGGCCCCCCAAAGGCCATCCAGACCAACCCCTCAAGGCAGGCAGAGTTGGGAGGGAACCCCAAAGGCCATCCAGTTCATCCCTTGGATGGATGGATGGATGAATGGATGGATGGATGGATGGATGGATAGATAGATAGATAGATAGATAGATAGATAGATAGATAGATAGATGATAGATAGAGATAGACAGACGGATGGAGGGAGGGAGGGAGGGATAGATAGGACTCCCAAAGGCAGGATGGAGGGAGGGAGGGAGGGAGAGAGAGAGAGAGAGAGATAGGAGGGATGGATGGATGGATGAATAAGTGGATGGACGGATGGACGGATGGATAGATAGATAGGGATGGATGGATGGATGGATAGATAGATAGATAGATAGATAGATAGGAGTCCCAAAGGCAGGATGGATGGATGGATGGATGGATGGAATAGAAGGATGGATGGATGGATGAATAGAAGGATGGATGGATGGATGAATAAGTGGATCCCAAAGGCAGGATGGATGGATGGATGGATGAATGAATGAATGAATAGGATGGATGGGTGGATAAGTGGATGGATGGATGGATGGATGGATGGATGGATGGATGGATAGATAGATAGATAGATAGATAGATAGATAGATAGGACAGGAAATAGACAGAGGAAGGATGGATGGATGGAGTAATAGATAGAGGATGGATGGATGAATAGATAGTTGGATGATGGATGGATAGATAGATGATGATGGATGGATGGATGGATGGATAGATGCATGGATGGATGGAAAGACGGATATATTCAGATGGTGGGATGGATGGATAGATAGATAGAAGTAGATAGATAGATGGATAGATGATAGGATGGATGGATAGGTAGGTGGATGGATGGATGGATGGATGGATGGATGGATGGATGGATGGATGGAGTGAGGATGGGGTAGGAGGATGGATGGATGGATGAGAAGGATAGGAGAAGTAAAGGATGGATGGATGGATAGAATCTTAGAGGTGGGAGAGACCTCCAAAGGCCCTCCAGTCCATCCCTTAGGTAGGTAGGTAGAGGACAGTTAGATCAATAGAAAGCTAGAGTTGTTGGGGAGCCCCAAAGACCATCCAGTCCATCTGAAAGATAGAATCATTGAATCCTAGGGGTGGGAGGGAGCCCCAAAGGCCATCTGGGCCATCCCTCAGGCCCTTGTCTTTCCCCCCTGCTGACCTCTCCCTCCTCCGCACAGTGTAGCTCTGCTCTGGCCCTCTGAATGGGAGCGGATCCGGACCCTCTTTGTGGTGGACCAGGCCATCCGGGTGCTGCGGCGGCGGCCGGCCCCCCAGGAGGAGGGGGAGGGGGATGCGGCCCAGGGGGCAGAAGGGTCCCCCTCGTCTCCGCTCTTCATCACCGAACCCGGTGAGTGCTTTTTGGGGGCTGCGGTCGGGCAGGGTGTCCCCCCCCCACACACACACACAAGGCCCAGGCGGGGACTCCCTCCTTGCCTCCCTCCCTCGTGTGCCCTTTGCAGAGCTGTGCCTGGACTGCCGGGAGGGGCTCCTGTGCCAGCAGCAGCGGGACCTGCGGGAATACGCCCAGGCCACCATCTACGTCCGCAAGGTCGTCGACAGCAAGAAGGTCAGTATTATCATTATTAACTAGCTGTACCCTGCCACGCGTTGCTGTGGCCTATAGTAAATCTTTTCAAAGTAGAGGTAGATATCTGGAGTATTATGAAAGAGAGGTACCTACCTATTCCTTCCCCCTTTTTCTCCCCCTTTCTCTCCTTTCTTCCTTCTCTACCTCTTTTTTCTTTCTTTCTTTCCTTCTTTCGCTCCTTGGTTTCATCCTTCTCTCTTTCCTTCATTCCCTCCCCCTTTCTTCCTTTGCCTCCTTTCTTCCCTCCATGTTTCCTTCCTTCTTTCATTTTTTATTTCCTTTTCTCCTTCCTTCTTTACCTCTTTCCTGCCTTTCCTTCCTTTTATTTTTCTTTCCTTTCTACTTTCTCTTCTTCCTTCCTTCGGTACCTCTTTCTTTCCTGCCTTCCCTCCTTCCTTTTTTCCTTCCCAATGCTTACCAAACCCTTCTCATGCTTTCTGTTGGGTCATGGGAGTCCTGTGTGCCACGTTTGGTTAAATTCTGTCATTGGTGGAGTTCAGAATGCTTTGATTATTGGTAAACTATAAATCCCTGCAGCTTCAACTCTGGGGCGTCGGTGGGTGTGGCGGGGCTTCCGCGGAGGCGGGTGGGCGGGGAGGAGGAGGAGTGTAGGGACGGGGCGTTGGTGGGTGTGGGCGGGGCTTCCACGGAGGGGGGTGGGAGGGGGAGGAGCAGGAGTTTAGGGGTAGGGTGTCGGTGCGTGTGTGGTGGGAGGGAGGTGCACCAGGCGGTGGTGGGTGTGGGCGGGGCTTTGGCGGAGGGGGTGGGAGGAGGGAGTGTAGGGGCGGGGCGTCGGTGGGTGTGGGCGGGGCTTCGGCGGGGGAGGGAGGAGGAGGAGGAGTGCAGGGGCGGGGCATCGGTGGGTGTGGGCGGGGCTTCAGCGGAGGGGGGTGGGGGGGGGAGGGCGAGGGGCGGGGCGTCAGTGGGGGTGCTGGCGGGGTTGGGGGGGGGGGGAGGAGGAGTGCATGGGCAGGGCGTTGGTGGGTGTGGGCAGGGCTTCGGCGGAGGGGGGTGGGAGGGAGGAGTGCATAGGCGGGGTGTCGGAGGGTGTGGGCAGGGCTTCGGCGGAGGGGGTGGGAGGCGGAGGAGTGCATAGGCGGGGCGTTGGTGGGTGTGGGCGGGGCTTCAGCGGAGGGGGGTGGGAGGAGGAGGAGGAGTGCAGGGGCGGGGCGTCGGTGGGTGTGGCCGGGGCTTCGGCGGAGGGGGGAGGGAGGTGCAGAGGGTGCGTTGGCCGTTTGGTCATGTGCGTGTGTCGGGGACTTTGCGCCATTGTGCATGCTCAGTTGTTTTGTCCTTTTGTGAGTGTGTTGTTGTGTTGTTTTTTATTTTGATTCGATATGTTTGTACCTTGTGGGTTGAGGTATGTGCATGGGAATTTTGGTTAATTTTCGTTGGGTGGTTTTTGAGTTTTGCTGTCCCGTTGGATGCCCCTTACAGATTTATATATATAGATTACCCCACAAAGGAGACACAAGCTTGGCTTCCCGCACCAAAGAGTTGGAAATACAGGCAGAGATGAAGCGTCGAGGAAGGCCTTGTGTTGTCGCCCATTGCAAAACATTCTCTCTTCCCCTTTGGGTCCCTTTTCGACTTCTTTCCTTGTCTTTCCAGGTGATGAAGGAGGCGGCGCCGGAGCTGGCGGTGAGCAGTTCGGAGGCCGAGGAAGAGAAGGAAGAGGAAGAGGAAGAAGAGGAGGAGCTCCGGGCCGAAGCCGGGCGGGACCCCGACTTCAGCCAGGTACCTCCACACTCCTCATCATCCTATCCTTGTTTTTGTGATTTTATATTATTTATTTTATATTATTTTATTGTTATATTATCTGTATTGTTTTACTGATGTTATAGTAGTTATAATAAAATAATAGAAAATAATATAAATATAAAATGCTATATTAATAATATAACAAAATAATACAAATAATGTAAGAATAAAATAATATAAAATATAATAAAATATTAATATAAAATAATATAAATATAAAATAATATAGTAGTTATTTCATATTATTTTATTGTTTTATTTGTGTTGTTTTTGATATTATTAATATATTATTTTATATTTATATTATTTTATATTAATATTTTGTTATATTTTATATTATTTTATTCTTATATTATTTGTATTATTTTGTTATATTATTTATATTTTATATTTATATTATTTTCCATTATTTAATTATTATATTACTAGATATATTGTAATTATTATATTATTTTTACTTTTTATTGTTGTATTAATATATTATTAATATACTATTTTATATTTGTATTTTATTTTCTATATAATTATGCGATATTATGAATTTTTATATTATTTTATATATTATTTTACTATATTGTTATATTAATTTTATCATTTTTGTTACATTAATTTAATAATATACTATTTTATTTTTGTATTTTAAAATTCTATCATTATTTCATTAGCATTTATATTTTTATCATTTCATTTTTATCTTATATTATTTTTATTATATATCATTTTACATTATTTTAAATATATATTATGTTATATTATGTTGTTATATTTTTATAACATTTTAATATATTATTTTATATTTTTTCTGTTTTTGTTATATTATTATTTTATATTATTATTGTTATTCATTAGCATTTATATTTTTATCATTTCATTTTTATCGCATATTATTTTCTATTATTTTTATTATATATCATTTTACGTTATTTTAAATATATATTATGTTATATTATGTTATTATATTTTTATAACATTTTAATGCATTATTTTATATTTTTTGTTATATTATTTTATATTATTATTATTATTGTTATTCGTTAGCATTTATATTTTTATCATTTCATTTTTATTATATATCATTTTACGTTATTTTAAATATATATTGTTATATTATATTTTATAACATTATATTATTTTATATTATTTTTTTCTTTGTTTTTGTTTTATTATTATTATTCATTAGCATTTATATTTTTATCATTTCATTTTTATCGCATATTATTTTCTATTATTTTTATTATATATCATTTACGTTACTTTAAATATATATTATTATGTTGTATTATGTGGTTATATTTTTACAACATTTTAATATATTTTATATTATATTTATATATATAAAATATTTATATATTTTATATTATATTATTATTGTTATTCATTAGCATTTATATTTTTATCATTTCATTTTTATCGCGTATTATTGTCTATTATTTCTATTATGTATCATTTTACGTTATTTTAAATATATATTATATTATTTTAGTTATATTTTTATAACATTTTAATATATTTTATATTTTTTACTTTGTTTTTGTTATATTATTATTTTTGCTATGTTTATTATATATCATTTTACGTTATTTTAAATATATATTGTTATATTACGTTATTATATTTTTATAACATTTTAATATATTATTTTATATTTTTTTCTTTGTTTTTGTTATATTATTATTTTATATTATTATTGTTATTGTTATTCATTAGCATTTATATTTTTATCATTTCATTTTTATTATATATCATTTTATGTTATTTTAAATATATATTATATTATTTTATATTTTTTTACTTTGTTTTTGTTATATTATTGTTATTCATTAGCATTTATATTTTTATCATTTCATTTTTATCGCATATTATTTTCTATTATTTTTATTATATATCATTTACGTTACTTTAAATATATATTATTATGTTGTATTATGTGGTTATATTTTTACAACATTTTAATATATTTTATATTATATTTATATGATATAAAATATTTATTATATTTTACTTTGTTTTTGTTATATTATTATTGTTATTCATTAGCATTTATATTTTTATCATTTTTATCGCATATTATTTTCTATTATTTTTATTATATATCATTTACGTTACTTTAAATATATATTATTATGTTGTATTATGTGGTTATATTTTTACAACATTTTAATATATTTTATATTATATTTATATGATATAAAATATTTATTATATTTTACTTTGTTTTTGTTATATTATTATTGTTATTCATTAGCATTTATATTTTTATCATTTCATTTTTATCGCATATTATTTTCTATTATTTTTATTATATATCATTTACGTTACTTTAAATATATATTATTATGTTGTATTATGTGGTTATATTTTTACAACATTTTAATATATTTTATATTATATTTATATGATATAAAATATTTATTATATTTTACTTTGTTTTTGTTATATTATTATTGTTATTCATTAGCATTTATATTTTTATCATTTCATTTTTATCGCATATTATTTTCTATTATTTTTATTATATATCATTTTATGTTATTTTAAATATATATTACTATGTTATATTATTTTATTATATTTTATAACATTTTAATATATTATTTTATATTTTTTACTTTGTTTTTGTTATATTATTATTTTATATTATTATTATTATTATTATTATTATTATTATTATTATTATTATTGGAGGAAAGGAGAAGGAAATGGGGACGAGGCTTTGCATCGAGATGCTTGGTCAAGATTACTGATTTTCTGACTCTTCCAACAGGCCAACAGTAGCAGTAGCAACACCGCCAATGCGGCCAAGCGGCCGAAGCTGACCCCCACGACCCCGGCTTTGGCCCCGGCCTTCCCGAAGCAGCAGGGCGTCCGGCGAAGTGCCCGTCACCGCAAGGTCCGCGGGGAGAAGGCCCTCCTGGTCTCTGCAAACCAGACCCTCAAGGACCTCAAGATCCAGGCAAGGCGGACCTTTCCCATTGCGTCTCCCAAAAGGGGGGGACTAGGTGGCCTTTGGGGTGCCCCATTCCATCCTCAGCCCTAAGGCTGTGTGTGTGTGTGTGTCTCTCTCTCTGCGCAGATCATGCACGCCTTCTCCGTGGCCCCGTTTGACCAGAACCTGTCCATCGATGGCAAAGTCCTCACCGACGACTCGGCCTCCTTGGGCAGCCTTGGGGTCACCCCAGAGTCCGTGGTCTTGTTGAAGGTAATGACCATAACAGTAATAATAATAGTAATAGTGATACCTGCCTTCTGAAATCCCTCTCACAGCAATCCCCATGAGAATAATAACAATAATATTTAATATTCTCATGGGGATTGCTGCAAGTGGGATTATATAATAATAATAATAATAATAATAATAATAATAATAATAATAATAATAATAGCAGCTTCTGGCATGATAAATAATAATATAATTATTATGGTTTGCTTCTGATACAATTTATTATTATTATTATTATTTATTGTATCATAATATAATTATTATTATGGTTTGCTTCTGATACAATTTATTATTATTATTATTATTTATTGTATCATAATATAATTATTATTATGGTTTGCTTCTGATACAATTTATTATTATTATTATTATTATTATTATTATTTATCGTATCAGAAGCAAAGCATAATAATTTTATTATATTATTTATCGTGTACGAAGCAAAACATAATTTTTATTATATTGTTATTATATTATTTATGTCAGAAGCAAACAATTATTTATTATTATTTATCGTATCAGAAGCAAAGCATAATAATTTTTATTGTTACATTATTTATTATGTCAGAAGCAAAACATTATTTATTGTATCAGAAGCAAAGCATAATTTTTATTGTTATTATATTATTACTTGTCATGTCAGAAGCAAACTATTATTATTTATCGTATCAGAAGCAAAACATAATAATTTTTATTGTTGTTATTATATTATTTATGTCAGAAGCAAACAATTATTTATCGTATCAGAAGCAAAACATAATAATTTTTATTATATTGTTATTATATTATTTATCATGTCAGAAGCAAACCATAACAATTTTTATTGTTATATTATTATTATTACTTATCATGTCAGAAGGAAACAATTATTATTATTTATTGTATCAGAAGCAAACCATAATAATTTTTATTATATTGATATTAGGTTATTATTTATCATGTCAGAAGCAAACAATTATTATTATTAATCGTATCAGAAGCAAACTATTATTATTATTATTAATCAGAAACTATTATTATTAAGCTATCAGAAGCAAAACATAATAATTATTTATCGTATGACAAGTAAATAATTATTATTTATCATATCAGAAGCAAACAATTATTATTTATCGTATGGGAAGCAAACCATAATAATAATTGTTATTATTTATCGTATGGGAAGCAAACCATTATTATTATTAATCAGAAGCAAACCATGATAATAATTGTTATTATTTATTGTAACAGAAGCAAACCATTATTATTATTATTATTATTATTTAGCATATCAGAAGCTAATAATAATAATAATCAATAACCCAGCTTGTTTTCTCCCCTGAAACAGGCTGATGAGCCCATTGTGGATTACGCTGCGATCGATGACGTTATGCAAGGTAAGCGGGCCGATCTGAAGCTTCATTGAGGCGGGGGGGGGGGGGGTACAATTTTCTTTGCTGGCTGGAGCTATGTATTAAGGCCTTGGGGGGCTGCATCCCATGACAATCCCCCCTCCCAAATGCACAATTTGTGATGGTTTTCCTGACATGTCTGCCTTCCCTTCCAGTCTGTATGCCTGAAGAAGGATTCAAAGGTAGGCTTCGCTCCTTTTTACTCTCTCTCTATATACACACACACATATACACATGGATTTATTATATAAATAAAAATCTAATATTCGTTTGTGGGATTATCAGAACTCAAAAACCACTGGACAAATTGACACCAAATTTGGCAGCAAAACACATTCTAATCCGATCTATGTCTTTCTAACAAAAAAATGAAGGGGAAATAAGTTAAAACTCCCCAAAAAGAAGAATGCGCAAAAGCTCCTCTCCCCATCGAGCGAGAAGAATGAAGCACCAACCGTCGTGAGGGAAGAGAGTCCCTTTCCAAGCAGGAAGGCAGAGTCCTTTTTCTTTTGGGGAGGGGAGGGATTGAGGAGAGGAAAGAGGGAAGGAGAAGGCCTGGCTCAATGGAGAGGTGGGGGTTTGGCGAGGCAAGCCCTGGCAGCAGCTGGAGCCACCGCAGAGACTCCTTGAGGCCCACGTGGCTACCAGGCAACTCTTCCCCCAAAACCAGAGGATTGCAAGGCACACCACCACCACCCCATGAGAAGGCCAGCAACTCTCCCACTTGGGCTCCAAATCCCCCCTTTCTCCCCCCCCCAAAACCCCTTACAAACTGTCCCAGGAAGGAGGGGAAAGAAAGGGAAAGGAGAGAAGAAAGTAAGAAAAGGACTGGTGAAGAGAAGAGGAGATTTTGAATGGAAGGAAAGGTAGAAGGAAAGGAAGAGGAAGGAGGGAAAGGCAGGGATGGGAGCAGAAAGGAAGGGAAGAGGGAGGGAAAGAACAAAGGAAGGAAGGAAGGAAGGAAGGAAGGAACGAAGGAAGGAAGGAAGGAAGGAAGGAAGGAAGGAAGGGGGAAACTGGTGAAAGGAAGAGAAGAATATAGAATTAGAGAGCCCTAGAGTTGGGAGACACTTGGTGGGTCATCCAGACCAACCCCATTCTGTGAAGAAGCAGGAAATCACATTCAAAGCACCCCCAACAGATGGCCACCCAGCCTCTGTTTCAAAGAAGCTTTTTGGAGTGTTTTGGGTTCAGTGGCTGCTTCTCATTACTTTATTTCCCATAACACCTTGCACCTTAACAGCCTGGCTTCTACTAGCCAGCAGGAAACCTTTGGTGGGAGGACTTCCCTAGCCCAGATTGCTTCATGTCTACAAATCCTCCGTTTTCTGTGCTCGCTGGGGACCAGGATGCTGCGCGACCTGCGGAGGCTGCCCGGGAGGCCCCCGCTGCACGCCATCAGTGAGGAAGGGGAAGGAAGGAAGGAAGCGGGAGAAGGAAGGAAGGATGGAAATGAGGGGAGGGGTGTAAATAGCAAGGAAAGAAGGAAAGAAAGAAGAAAAGTGGGAAGGGGAAGGGAAGGTGTAGGAAGGAAGGAGAAGTTGAGAAGGTATATGAAAGAAGAAAGGAAGGAAAGAAAGAAGAAAGGGAGAGAAGGAGGATGGGAAAGAAGGGAGAAAGGAAGGAAAGGAAGGAAGCAAGGAAGGGAGGGAGGAAAGGTGTATGAAGGAAGGAAGGAGAAGTTGAGAAGGTATATGAAAGAGAAAGGTAGGAAAGAAAGAATAAAGAGAGAGGAGGATGGGAAAGAAGGGAGAAAGGAAGGAAGGAGGAAAGAAAGATAGAAAAAGAAGAAGGAAGGGAAGGTGTCAAGGAAGGAAGGAAGGAGAATTGGGAAGAGAGGAAAAAAGCAAAGGAAGAAGAGAAGGGAGGGAAGAAAAAGAAAGAAAAGAAGTCTGGAAGTCAAGAGCGAAGGAAGGAAGAAAGGAGAGAAAGAGGAAGGAAATTAAAAAGGGAGGAGGAAGGAAAGAGGAGAAAAGGAAAGAAAAAAGGGAAGGGAGGAAAGACGGAGCAAAGGAAGAAGAGAAAGGAGAGAAAGAGGGAGGGAAGGAAAGAAATAAAGAGAAGGATGGGAGCAAAAAGCTAAGGAAGGAAGTAAACAGAGAAGGAAGAAAGGAAAGAAGAAGAGGAAATGAAGGAAGGAGTGAAAGAAGGAGAGAAAGAGGGAGAGAACGTTGGCCACAGCAATGTGTGGCGGGTAAAGCTAGTATAATATAATGGATTTTTCTATATTATATTATCTATATATATAAAATGTAATGTTAGTTTGTGGGATTAGCATAACTCAAAAACCACTGGATGAATTGACACCAAATTTGGACACAAGACACTGATCAGGCCAACGAGTGACCATCACTCATAAAAACACAGCGGAAGGGACTTAAAACCCCCCAAAAAAATCACTGCAGCGCATGCGCAAAAACGACTCCCTCAGCAAAAAAAAAAAAAGCACAATAGCATATCCACGCTCTTCCGGATTACAGCTCCCAGCATCCCTTAGACCAGGCCCTTTAGGGGAGGAGGATGATCCAAATGCTGTGTGTGTATAATTGTATTATATTTATATATGTATATACCAATTTTACCTCTAATTTTTTTCAAACACTTCTTATCAAATGCGAATATTCTGTACTCAAAAATCTGGGCCTCCCTTTCTTTCCAGGGACCGGTCTCCTCGGACACTAATGTATTTTGGGGGGGAAACAACACTGTTGTCGAAGCGTCAAAGATGAATCGGGGAAACGGGTCGGCCATTTCGGGGCAAGCGGACTTTTCCAGAAGGACTTGGGTTTTCCGAGATAACGGCGCCGAAGTCGGTCAAAACGCAGGAGATCGATCCTTAGAAGGAGGGATGGAGAAGGGTGTTGTTGTGCCTTGTCCCGGTCCTTCCTCGTCTCTTCCGACACTTCGAACGGCTCGTTTCTCGTCTCGTTTCTCGTCTTCCTCCTCTTCCCGTAAAAAAAAACGGGGGAAACGGAAGAGGAAGAAAATGGCACTTGTGAAAGGTGTGGGCTTTTCATGGGTGGATAGTTGAGGACTTTGGGGTTTGAGGGCTATTTGGGAACACGGTTCCCGGACGCGGGGATCAATATGGCGGGCCTCCCATAGGGTTAGGGAGCGGTCTCCCGGAAGACAGGCCCGGAGCCTTTCTCTGACGCTCTCGAAGTCGGGGCCTTTTTTCACCTCGCTTCGTCTTTGCGTTTGTCCTCAATTTTCAGCGTGCGATTCACACCCCGATGTGTATATGTAAATATGTCGATATATATATTTAAGGGAAGCGGGCGGGACTTCCAACTCCGCGCTTTTCCTCTGCCGTTACATCCCCAAACGTTGTGGGACTCGTTTTCAGAAATCTTCATTAAAGTGTGTCAATCTCATCTCGCGTTACGACTATTATTATTGTTGTTGTTGTTGTTTTCCCGGGTCCGTATACGGACTTTCCGGTGCGGTCGTCATTGCGACAACGCAACAAAGGAAAGGTGGCACAAAACAGGTAAAGAAGCAGCAGGGGAGGATCTGGCTACGCCAAACGGAACCGGAAACGTGTGTTACAATATTATTATTTATAATGCAAATATAAGTATAATGCAAAAATACAATATTACTATT